TGTCTTAAAACCATGAGAGCATCTCTTAGATACACCCTTAAGACAACCCAGACTTAGTACTATTTTGTGATAGCTGCTACAGATGAAATTTCTAGGGAAACTTAGTAACTGGATATACCATAATTTCCACACAGGAAAGACCTGAAATGTACTCTCTGCCCACTGTACAGTTGGTCAGCCCAAGCTGCTGAACTTTTAGCTAGTACTAGAGCTTAAATACTGGCAAAAGGGAAAAAATGCCACTATTTACACTAACTCCAGATACATTTTTGGAGTCTGTCAGACAGTAGGCACAACCTGGGACTCCTGTAGATTCTTAACTTCTGCTGGTCCTCCTTATGGTGCAGCCCATACTACGGAAACATATCTATAGGGAATGACAGGGCTGGCAAGGCCGCTAACTATGCAGCCCCAAAGAGAACCCCTTTCATTTCTCCACCTTATTTATAAACCTGCCTTTATCCCTGATATTATTAACTATTCAGGCAAATGCCTCAAAATCTAAAAAAGACAAATGGATACAAAAGGGTGCCAAACAATTATCAGACCGACTGATTATACACTGGGTCAAACAGACTTCCTATGCACCCCTTTCTCTGGATCTTTTGGCTTGCACTTATCTCCTAGCAGATGGGACATATGTGCAGATGCGGGGTTAAGGAACTAGAAGAAAATTGATTCTTCCTTAACATCCAAAAACTTTCTGACCAAATTATTTCCAGTGTACTACTTGTAATTCTCACCAAATTTCTGGAGGAAACCACCATAGCTCAGCAAGTCTTTGAAGGCCCACATTATCCCTTGCAGCACTCCAAATGGATTCCACAGATTACCTCCAGTTTTAGGCTATTCCCACTGTTTGGTTACTGTTGGTATATTTGGTGGATGGACTGAATGCCATCTGACCTGAGGTGCCAATGCCACAACAGTGGTGAAAAAAATTAGAGTATTCCTTGTTTTGGAATTCCTTTATAGATGAATTAGACCAAGGAAGTCATTTTTACAGCAGAAATAAACTACTTGCTGGCAAAAATTTTGTTGTACTCATTAAAATTCCATACCCTGCAGTGAAATAAGCCAGGTAGAGAAAGACAAGTATCAAATGATTTCACTCATCTGTGGAGTATAAGAATAAAGAAAAGACTGAAGGAACAAAACAGCAGCAGACTTATAGAACCCAAGAATGGACTAACCATTACCAAAGGGAAATGGACTGGGGAGGATGGGTGGGAAGGGAGGGGCAAGGGGGAAAATGGGGGAAAAAGGGACATTACGATTAGCACACATAATGTAGGGGAGGGCACGGGGAAGGCAGTATAACACAGAGAAGACAGTAGTGATTCTATAGCATCTTACTATGCTGATGGACAATGACAGTAATGGGGTATATGGTGGGGACTTGATAATGGGGGGAGTCTAGTAACCATAATGTTGCTCATGTAATTGTACATTAATGATACCAAAAAACAAAAAATTCCATACCCTGGACCATTCCCAATCCTCGGGGAAAATAGAAAAATCTAGACAGCAAAATGAGTTTAGGAAAACGCTGTCAACAAACTGGACTTAACGGCCAGAAGCATTACCTCTGGCCCTTATAAGTCTGAGTACTACAAATGGAAGACATGGATTAACTCCTTTTGAAGTAGTGTTTGAAAGATATCTACTTGACATCTCTAAACCTTCCATTCCTGGTATGAGTGAACCTTATAAGGACTTAAGTGAAGAATTTGCTGCTATGAGTAGCTATATACAGGGACTAACTAGTATACCTGGAGGATATCATCAACAGGTGAAGAGGGTGTGGCCTCCACTGACTGGTAACTGTCACCATCTCTTTTGACCAAAAGATTGGCTGTACATCAAGGTTTTTGGCAGAAAGCACACATTGCCACCTTGCTGGGAAGACTCTTATGAGGTACTGCTAACCACCCATACTGCCATCAAAATTAAAGAAAAATCCTGGATTCACGTGAGCCTTGACAAGTTGGACCTGGATCAGCACTACTGGGACAGCTGGAAGACATTCCTAAGGTGACCTTAAAGTAAGGATTTCCCAGGCAAATTCCCAGGCTCCAAAAGCAGACAAAATCATAAAGTAGACAGCCTTTCCCAAAAGTACAGACCAAGAAACTTGACTTCTACCTATTTTCTCTTCCTACCGGGTGTCCTAACTCCCAGAGGCAAATAAAAAAGAGAAAAAAAATCTTCCTTTCAATAAAGCTTCCTCTGTCTTTATCTATTTATTAAAAGGCTGACTGGAGATGTCTTGTCTCAATCTATTCTATTTTCCCTCTGGTCTTCCACTACAGGCTCTCTTTCAAACTGTGTCCAACTCTAATTAACCCTTACCATGTTCTCACCTGGTCAAGCATAGACACAACACCTAGTTTTCCAAACTCTGGCCACATTAACTAACCAATCTGTTCATTGGTTATGTCAACATCTAGATCGTGCAAAAGGACCTGGACTAATTCCTGTTCCTGCCAGTGCAAGCAGCTGGTAGACCAACTCCAGAAAATGGATGCATGACAGGGTATGGCATCCACAACCAAGAAAACATCACTCTTTTCCTTTTGGTGAGTCAGATGGACATGGAAAAACCTCTGGAAGCTCAGGGACTGTCCTTTGCAGACTTAAGTGAAGAATTTGCTGCTATGAGTAGCTATATACAGGGACTAACTAGTATACCTGGAGGATATCATCAACAGGTGAAGAGGGTGTGGCCTCCACTGACTGGTAACTGTCACCATCTCTTTTGACCAAAAGATTGGCTGTACATCAAGGTTTTTGGCAGAAAGCACACATTGCCACCTTGCTGGGAAGACTCTTATGAGGTACTGCTAACCACCCATACTGCCATCAAAATTAAAGAAAAATCCTGGATTCACGTGAGCCTTGACAAGTTGGACCTGGATCAGCACTACTGGGACAGCTGGAAGACATTCCTAAGGTGACCTTAAAGTAAGGATTTCCCAGGCAAATTCCCAGGCTCCAAAAGCAGACAAAATCATAAAGTAGACAGCCTTTCCCAAAAGTACAGACCAAGAAACTTGACTTCTACCTATTTTCTCTTCCTACCGGGTGTCCTAACTCCCAGAGGCAAATAAAAAAGAGAAAAAAAATCTTCCTTTCAATAAAGCTTCCTCTGTCTTTATCTATTTATTAAAAGGCTGACTGGAGATGTCTTGTCTCAATCTATTCTATTTTCCCTCTGGTCTTCCACTACAGGCTCTCTTTCAAACTGTGTCCAACTCTAATTAACCCTTACCATGTTCTCACCTGGTCAAGCATAGACACAACACCTAGTTTTCCAAACTCTGGCCACATTAACTAACCAATCTGTTCATTGGTTATGTCAACATCTAGATCGTGCAAAAGGACCTGGACTAATTCCTGTTCCTGCCAGTGCAAGCAGCTGGTAGACCAACTCCAGAAAATGGATGCATGACAGGGTATGGCATCCACAACCAAGAAAACATCACTCTTTTCCTTTTGGTGAGTCAGATGGACATGGAAAAACCTCTGGAAGCTCAGGGACTGTCCTTTGCTCAGGTAAGACATTAGAAGGGAATTTTTCCCTTTGCATTCAAAGCCACCATGGTCCTGGATCTTTCCCACGTGCCACCAAGGCAATATTACAATCCAACCTGTAGTATGATTCCACAGGTAACATCCTCAAGCCTTTTGCGAAAAGTCGTAATTGGTCTTCACTCTGACTCTTCTGGTAGAGATATTTGCCAAGCCACCAGCCACCCCTGTGTCACTTTCTGTGATAGGACACCCTTATGTAACCCATTCCAAAGGATGGGAGACAGATTTAACAGGATATGGGGAAATGTGGTAGTTTGCTATTTTTTGTTTATTCATTCTCATTCTAATCTATATTCTCCTCTCCCTTTGCAGAGCTCTTGCCATTCAGCCACTAATCCAATTCTCTTCAGACATCAACTGAGCTTCTCGGTAAATGTCAGATAGGGAAATGAAGAAGCACAGAGCCTCTCACCCCAAAATATGCCACTTTGGCAGACTGATTATTTTGAGTTAAAGGCACTTGAGAAACAGCAGATATAAGAAGTGCACCCTGACTTTTCTTTCTCTTCCTGCAATTAGGAGATATCTCCCACGTGAAAGGTGCCTTCCTTGTACCTGGAGAAGACCAGGGAATGGAAGCCAAACAATCTACACAAACCAACCTTCATTAAGCCTTTACCTAGCATTTTCACAATTTACTCTCCTAGCCCGAACCCCCTTACTTTGTTTGTTTCTTTTGTCTAAAAGGTATAAAAGCTTTCTGCTCTGGGCACTTCTTCAGGTCTTCATTCTCTTGTGAAGGTTCTCATGTACATGTAAACAATTTTTAACAAAACATACATGTTTTTCTCTTGTAATTCTGTGTATGTCACTTTAATTTCCAGGCCATGCTGGAGACCCAAAGAGGGTAGAGAATTTTTCCTCCCCTATAAATACAATCACTTTCTGCTAGCACTCTCTTCTCACTGGGGAACACACTCCCAAACCCTTGAATTATTCTTAAATTCACTCCCATGCAAAATACTGTTTTGTTCTTTGGGCCCCTTAACAATTCATGCTCAGAATTAAGATGCACACCTCATCGTAGCTGTTTCAAGGATTAAGCATGCTAGGGGCAGTACAAAACCCAGGTGAGGGGGGCCCTCCTCAAACCTTGGCATATGGATCTACAAGGAATACTGGGTTAAGTAGAGGTGACCTTGCGCAGTTCCAAGGTGGAACCCATCACCTGACAAGAATGAGGCGTGTAGATGAATTCTGGTTCAGCCACAGCATCCCTCTCCCAAGGAAATCTGGCCGACACCCCAGGGCGGAGTGGGCGGGTCCGCTTACCCCGCTTCCGGGTGGGAGCCGCGCTGCCTGTGGGGCGTTACATACACAGCGATCCGCTGCGCCTGAGCACCGGGAGAGGCGGTCGCAAGACGGTTTCCGGGGCGGGCAGCGGCGCATGCGTGGGCGGTCGGGCTCTCTAGTTTCTGGCGGTGAAAGCGGAAGTTGGGGGGACTGAGTCTTTCATCTGCGGGGTTGCCGCGCGGCGTCCGGTGAGAAATGGAGGTGGGCGCGGCGGGGGAAGATGGTCGCGATGGCCCCCGGCAGCGGCGAGACTGGGGCGAAGCTGGGACGCTGCCGCAGAACCACCAAGTGCGGCCTCAGTCCACGCCAGACACGCTTCCAAAGTACTCCTACTGGTTGGATCTGTGGCTCTTCCTCCTCTTCGACCTGGTGTTGTTTCTCTTCGTGTACCTTTTACCCTGGTGAGCTCTGAATGCACAGCCGAAGTGGTGAGGGAAGCTTAGCGATCATCCGCTCAGGGCGGGGAGGGCGTCGGCAGGGAAATTGAACTGCGCGTGGTGCGTTTCCAAGGTTACACAGCTGGTCTGGTGCGTGCGGGGGTGGAGATGAGGGCTATAGCGAAAAGGCCCTTCCCTGGCGCCTCAGTCTTCAGAGAGGTGCGGAGGAAGCTGGGCTTCCATTTTTTTTTTTTTTTAATGTTTTGGAATGAAACCAACTGGTTTGAGTTCCTGCATTACCGCGAAGAAACGAGGTTCTGGGAGGTCCATTTCTCATTTCCCATATGAAACCAACAGAAGAAACCAGGTCATAGCGGTATAGTGAAGATTGGATTAGATAGTAATTTATCTCCAACATTTTATTTGCATGTTATTTGGAAACAATAAATGCTCAACTAAAGCTATTGTTAACAGTTTGTGGGCAGGTTACGCAGGTATTTTAAACAGGTCGAGAACTGAACTTGTTAACTTTTTGCCCAAGTGTACTTGTCAGTGTTCTCATTTTAGTAAAAATTAACTTCATCCATTCAGTATTCCTCCCAGAAGCCTGAGACTCTGACTGCCTCCGCCCTTTTACATACCCACATATCTCCAAGTACCAGTTGGTACGTCGCAAAATTCTGTAGATTACCCTTGTAAAACCCATGCTCTCCATTTTCATTGCTACTCACTCTGAAGAGACAATTACGGCAGGGGATAAAGGAAGGGAGCATAGAGAAGGTGGTTTAGGGAAGCAGAACAAGAAGAGGGACACAGGAGAGGAGATGATCGGCAGGAGAGAAGCAGTGAGCTTAAGGAGGCCTGTGGAAGAAAAGCAGTGAAGCTTGTTTAGATATTAAACAATGCCTCTCGGACTTTGGAGTTCATTGCTTGCCCTAAGTTATGCCCTAAGTTAGCTTTTCTTAATCATTATGCTTATGAATTTGCACGCCTTGACAGGTAATTATTTCTTTCTCCACCCCCTTCGTCAAATTTTGGCAAAGATTCAGGGATAATCTCATTGTATCTGAGATCCCATTGTCTCTGATTTCTTGAGTGGTATTTCGAAATACAAGGCAGAGGGTTGACTAGGGTGAATGGAAGAGATGAGTGTTTCTATAAAATCCTGTCAGGCCGTTTATAATAGGAGAGTTCCTGCTCTTGTCCACCTTTCCTCCTTTTTTGTAGGGACTGAAAGGAAAGGAGCGACACACAGCAGCAATTCACCGGAGAATTCCGCTTTATTAGGGAAAGGTGCTGGGTTATATAGGAAGGGGCATGAATTGATTGTGGTGTCACTTCTACGGGGCTGGTGGTTGTTGGCTAGGTGCTGGGATTGGGAGGGGGGCGAGAGGTGATTGGGCTTCAGGTGGCACCGGCGGGAACCAAGGACCCCGAAGAGAAGCCGGAAGTTTGCCATCTTACTGGTGGGGGCCCTTCGTTCCCCCCTTTCTCCTCTATGGGGTTGTGGACGTTGCTTTCTCTCTGGCTGCTTCCTGCTGAACAGGGGCGGAGAAGGGAGTGAGGGCTTGAGGACCGGGAGGAAAGGCTTGATAGGACTCCCCGCAGTAAGGACGAGTAGATGTGGACTTCTTCAGGTTGGAAATCAATGAAGGTTCCCTGTAACCATAGGTCGAGGACCTGTTGATTCCAATGGTGCCAAGAGGATATGGGTGTCAGGAGCCAGGCGTCTGCAGCCATTGTTTCCAGGAACAGTTTCCAGTGGAGAGAGGGGTCTATCTCAGCGTGTGGTGAGGAGGTCACGTGAGGGTGAGGGATCTTCTGTGGG